ACCATTTTCTATACAAAAATTTCAAATTTTCGATTCGTACGAAAACCAGAATACGCCCCATTGTAAAATTTTAATTTTATCCATCATTATGTTACATCTCTATTTATCTGATACCGGTTAATTTTATCTTTAATATCATTTAGTTTTTATTAATTTCCGCACATTAAGCGCCTAAACATACACTGAGGGAAAAAATATCAAAATCAAATAGAAACGTAATTGATCTTACTATAAATGTCAACGAAAATACTGTATATTGGTAAAAATTCACTTCAATTACGCGCATATTAAAAGACCGCGTTCGTTCTGAAAAAGCATCCGTGAAGTGAATAATCAAGACAAAAACTAAAAAAAAATATTTAACTTGCATGTTGCCTGCGGTGCAATTCGAACCCTGACCATCTCTGGATATCAACAAAATGTGGCATGCATCTTTGCGCACTCAGCTACACCCAGGCATATAAATTTGCTTTCAAATGTTGAATATCCATCAACACCACAGCACGCGATTTGTACGGATAAACATGTACTATGTATGAATGTGTGTGTTGTCACCGCTCACAGAACGGCGCTCTGCATGCTTGGGGTGCGTATGTACACTCATATACATACTCAAATGTGAACAGTCAAATACGTGCGTAATAAATTTTGTATGAAAATATTATTTTTAAATACGAAAATTTTTAAACGATAATCAAATATTTATAAAGTATTCATTTTTTTACTATGCATTATTTCCCTCAGTGTAGTAGTGTAATCGTTTCGGCATACTAAAGTATGAAGCTTTTATGCCGAATACTTGTATTTCAATGAAGCTCTGTACATAACGATTCAAAATCATGTTTTCGCCTAATCATAAAAGCTTCATGAATCGAAGCGCCCTATATTGTTGCTTGCCGTTTTGAAATCGGAATTTGTACTTTTTTGTGTTGAAAATAAAAATTCTTTGTCATTTTAATAAGAAATAATTGAAAATGAATAATTTCGTGCTTAAATTCGCACAAATTGTATTGAAACTTGCAATATTTCGCTGCAGAAATATTTGCGGAAGTGTGTTGAGAGAGAACGGCCATAAAATGTGCTATGTGGAGAATTTATTGACTAGTTACATGTGCAAAAGTCGAGTCGTCATGCATTCGTTTCGGCATGAAATAACGATTACGCTACTATGATTACGCGCGTAATGTACGCAGTTCCTTATAAACAGGGAACGGATTTTTAGGATCTAAAAACCTATAAAAAAGGCAAAATAAAGTAACGAAATAGGCTGGAAAAGGCAAAATAAAATAGCGAAAAAGGCAGGAAAAGGCAAAAAAAA